CAAGTAGATTGCCTCTCTCCATGGCATCCCATGAGCAAGGAATTAAACACTGGGAGCCCAGGTGGATTAGGGCCCTCAGAAAATTTGTTCACCAGAGTGCTACTGATTTTTTAAACTGAATTAAATACTTTTAGAGTCCAAACTCTCTAGGGTGTCACAGTCCCCATTAACTCCCTCATAATGTTGAGCAACTGCATTATCTTTCTGTCTTCTAAAAGCATTTGAGCACACCACAGGGCTTATAACTTGGCTGGGCAACTTCTGGATTCTGAAGAAATTCTATTGCAAGTGACATTACCAGATTTGGGGCTTTTTGAAGTATTTGACTATCTCTATACCTGACCATTTAGTTAGGAAATTGCTTCTCACCTGCCAGAAGACCTTTTAGCATTCGTTTAATAATTGAATCAACACCTACTTATCCAAAAAACACATTGTACTAGGCAGGGAGCTAGGGGCTAGGGAAACTGCAATGAACAGGACAGACCCTGCCTCCAAGAAGCTCAAGGTCAGAGAGATGATCAAGTAAACAGGTGCTAACAATACAATGTGACAACATGGTTTTAGAAATACCTAAAAGGATAATACAGGGAAGGGGATGCCAAGAAAGGCTCCTCCAAGGGGAATTGGCCTTAGCAAAGATCCAACAATGAAGGCTTCCCAGGGTTGAAATGGGGGAGGGTGGGGAGGACAGGGTGTAGATGGGTGTTCTGCAGCATGTGCAAAGGCCGAGGAAAAAGAAGAGATAGCATGTGACTTGAGGGACTGTGGACGCTATTGTTAGTGTTACATGTGATGCTCCAGAACAGTTATGTGAACAGAATATCCTGGGGGGGGGGGGCGGGGCACATACTTCAAAAGATGCCACTCTACCCGTGACCACGTGAAAAAGTGTCCTATTCCTACAATAAAAGGCGTACACCTATAGGGAATTCTGAACATTCTGCCAGATATTAAGTTTCTAATGTATTAATAATTTCTAATATAAAAGTTAGATTTCTTATCATGCAGTCACACTCCTTGATTGGAAAACTCTCAATTTAATAAACATTTCTTTATTCTCATATCCTTCCTAAAGGGAAGACATTGTTATATTCTTGGGTGAAAAAACACTGAGGTCTCAAAAGAGTATAATACAATCCCTGGATGCATATATTTTATATGCATATAGACACATAAAAATTCTGAAAGAATAAATTCTAACACATTAATAGAAATGAAAAAATCATGTGTTCTTATTTTTTTGGCTTATCTCTTTAACAAAAAATTTTTTTACAATAAACACTTTTTATTTGTGTATTTTTAAAACCTCTGTTATATCCTCACAATACACTTTCCTTACTGGAAGCTCACAATCAGGGAATCCAGCAGGGGTCTATGGCCAGGCCCAACGGGCTCACCTCGCTCAGTCCTTGTCTTTGCGGACCACTGGCACCAGAGACTCAACCTGCTCTCCCAGCCCTAGTCACTGTCACTACTCACTTCCTCCCTTCTGTTTCTTCCACCACTAACTGCAAGACTGACTGCAAATGAGATGAAGAACCAGAATCCCAAACCTTTGTGGTCTTAGGGATTTTACTATCAATCAATAAGGGAGAAAGGAGGCAGAAGATCACAAGCATGACAAGTACAGGGAAGGAATGACTTTTGCATAAACTTCCAAATTGTCTACAGTCGAGGCCAGACATCAGCACACCCCTGAAATTGGAAACAGCACTGGGTTGGTGCCCATGGCAGGCCCTGAACCACTGATGGTTTTGAAGTTATTCCAAGAAGTCCAGGAATCAGGGCGCCTGGGTGGCTCAGTTGGTTATGCGACTGCCGGCAGCTCAGATCATGATCCTGACAACCCAGGATCGAGTCCCGCATTGGGCTCCCTGCTCAGCAGGGAGTCTGCTTCACCCTCTGACCCTTCCCCCTCTCATGTGCTCTCTCTCTCTCTCTCTCTCTCATTCTCGCTCTCTCAAATAAATAAAAAAATAAAATCTTAAAAAAAAAAAAAAAAGAAGTCCAGGAATCAGAGGTGTGTTACAAAGACCATTGCTAGAATAAATTAATCTAGCTGTATATATACCACAAATTTTTAAGCATTGCAGATGGATTAATAATCAGATTCATAACATTTAACACCTCTTTCTCATTATTTCTCAGTCGAAAGACACTAAAACTATCACTCTCCTATCAGTATCTGCATGATGCTTTAATGTTCAAGTGTCTCCATGTTCAAAGAGGCTGAGAACACTAGTGTAGAGGAATGAGCACAGGTCTCGAGAGGGTGACAGGACAGGGTGTACACGGTAGCTTCTTCAATGAACTGAGTAAATTTCAGCATCGTTCTTAAGCTCTCTGAGCTCAGTTTGTACGTCCAAAAGTGAGGATATAATGACTACATGAAACTTCTCTTTAGGGAAAACTAACTGAACTCAGTCTCCCAGCTGACCATCCGCTCCCCCCTTATTCCTCACCTAAGGTCCACCAAGACAGCAGAACAGCAAATGTTAACAAGCCCTTCAACCTCCAAATGAAAGGTCAATTTACCAGGCCACTGGCCAGCCCTGACACAATCGCCTCTTGGCATTTCCTCTTATGCACAGAAACATAAAAAAATGTATGTGTAAAAAAAATTCACCAAGTTATTTCTTTTTTTGAATAGTAACACGTAAGGTCAACCTTTGCCTTTAGAACAAAGTGTAACTTGTTCTGAGAGAGTGTGAGAAAGAAAAAATGGTTTACTAAGTTTTATCTACAACCTGAATTGAAAATTATCCTTAAATATGTTCTCAGTGGTTTATATGAAACGATAGTTAAATATAATTCAAGATAATCCCGTACTATCTCTCTTTAAGATTCCCACCTCCTTTAATGGTGAAGTAAGTCTAGTTTACCGGAAATGACACTATTAATGGACTATTATAAGTTAATAAGCACTTTCAATAAAAACAGCAGGATTTTTTAAAATTTTAAATGCCCAATTTTAAATGCCACAATGAGAAATATATAATAAATATCAGATTCTAATATAGTTAATGAAAACAATGCATTTTTATCTTCAGGAAAAAAAGTCTTCTCTGCCATTAGCTATAAATGCATAAAGGGATTATCATTAAAGGGATTATTATCATTATTATACTAAAACAACCTATATATCATTTTGTAGAACAAGCTTTTAGGGAGACAAAGCAATCACAGAACAGTCCGTTAAAGTCTTCTTTAGTAGATATACAAGTCCCAGGTATTTAAATCAGAGACAAAAGAAAATACTATCCCTTAATAGGATTACATAGAAAATGAAACATCTCTTACTTTAAGAGCAACCACGGTGCTTGTTCCTACAGTGAAAACCGATGTTATCTGAATCAGTTAATTATTCATCCCAACCCCCCGGCCTTACTCCTGAGGCATTCATACCTTCTCCACCTCTTGCTGTGTTAACACCAGTTCAATAATTTGCTGATAAAGAATCTTACTGCCGCATCTAACAGATCTTAGAGATTAAGTGTGTGGCTCACTCCCTCATTGTACAGATAAGTAAACTGAGCCCAAAAGAACTCAAGTATCTTATTGAAAATAAGCTAGTTAGTTGAAAAACCTACCCAGAGCGTTCTCCAGGCCACACCTCTCACTGGGTAAACCACAGTAACTGTTAAGCCGACTACTCAAGCAGCTACCACAGTAACTGTTAAGCCGACTACTCAAGCAGCTATCTACCTGATTGCATGGAGAATGTTTTCAATGGGCCGCATGGCATATTTTAACTGTTAAAATAATCCAAAAGGATATTAGTCATACACCAACCTCCTTTGGATAGTAAGTGTAGGAGCAGCATTAATTTAGCTGAATCTCCTCTAAGTTACTCTTTTTATTCATAACTACAAGGATGATAGTACCACAGTAAATTACGAAGTACTGTAATTTTATTCTTTCCCAATAAGTATATGTTATATGTGCTATGTTCTCAACTAGTAAATCAAATCAATATACCAATCCTGAGGCTTAGGCTGTACATATGGGAAATGTGAGAACTGTTTTAATTAAAGCTTTTTTGAGATATAGATTGCAGCACAGATCCCAAGCATTTTAAAGATTCACATTAATTCCAATCTCTTAAAAAATGTATTTACAGAGGAAAGCTTCTTTTGCAATTTATATGTTCATAAATGTTTCCATTAAGCTAAGCGATATTTTGGAATGTGGTCAAATGATATTAAATGTCAAGTCCTAACAGCAAGGATAAATCTCTAACAGTTCTCGTATGCGGCCACCGCTCTTTTAAACCAGTGTCCCCAAAGGGCTAAAAGGGAGAAAATCCTAACTTAACAAGTGAAGACGGCAAGGCATATTTTAAAAGCTACCTTTCATTTTCTCTCTACTTCCTAAATACAAAATTGGATTTGGACTTCTTTCACACTGTTAACAATTTGGTATTAATATATGCATCTGTCATACCTCCCCCTCAAGAGAGAAGTTACACACTCCAGCTACATATAACTTCCAAATCCTTTCCAAAACTAAATGCGAAAACCAAAATACCGCTCCTTAAAAAAAAAAAAAAAAGGTATGGAGAATTGGCAGACTGCATATTTATATCAACCTTCAGAAAACATGGAAACACGCAGCCCCAACTCACCAGGAAAATTATTACTTGTGTTCAAACTAGTTTGTGACATCTTCTATCTTTTATGCATTTCACTTCATACCCAGTTCTGCACCCGCTTGAATCTATCAACCCCCAAACGTCTCAAGAGCAAGCTACCACAGTGTAACAGCTTTAACAGGAACCGTGCAAGAGTTCTGCTCATGGCCTGTGGCGTGATCTCAGAAACACTTGAAGCAAACATATTTATGTCCCCTCTTATTTAAAACGGGGGGACCTCGAGCCTGGGATGTGGCGAAAGCACAGCAACAAGAGAAAAAAAAATACCCAAACACGGAACATGCTAAGAACAAAGGAAACACAAGCCTGTGAACAGGAAATGAAGCAACTCTATACACACAAATACCTTTTGGGGCCGCCAACGTAGGTGAAAGTAAAGGTGGAATCTGAGTATCTGAAATCTGAAACGGAAAAGTCCTGTTAAAAGCTACCCCTCGAGTGGGTTTTTCACCTTGGTCATGACTTGGGCCCCCTACTTAGTGGAACCAAGGGAAGGCCTGGCGGGCTGGAGAACCGCGAGGTCCCCTCTCCGCGCCACGCAGGAGGGGATGCTGCGCACCCCGGGCCGGGTGCCGCGGGAGGCCGCCCCCCGCAACAAGTGCCGGGTGCCAAGGCAACGGCGGGAATTTCCCGGTCGGGGTGGCCGGAAGCGGCCCCCGCCGAGCTCGCGGCTGAGAAAGCAAAATCCGATCCTTCTCCCCGGGGAGCAAAATGGACGAAAGGCGACCCCCAGGCATGGGAGCAGGGCGCCTCGGGAACCCCGGGAATCCCTGGTCTTTCCGGGGCAACGCACTGCCAGTCGGAGGGGACTAACGCGAGCTGAAGGCGCGGAGATCCGGCCAGCGCTGCCCCCCGCCCCGGCCCCCGGGGGCATCGGCGCCGGGCGCAGCCGGCCAGCGCAGCGTAGCGCAGCGCAGCGGGCTCCATTGCCGGCCGCCGCCGCTCAGCCCATTGCGCAAACCCGCAGGTCCTCCCCGCCCGGCTCGGCCGCAGCTGCTGAAAGCCCGGAGGCGGGCTGGGACGCTCGGGGCATCCACAGGGGGATAAAAAGAGCACGCACGGCACCTCCGCCTAGACCCCTGCCCGGGCCACCGTGGTTCGGCCCCCAGAGCTGGTGGCCGCCCCAGACTGGTGGGGGGGGGAGGGGAGTAGGGGAGAGGCTGGCGCCCCCTCCCCCTTTTGGCTCCCGCTCCCGCTGCAGCAGCTGTTGCCAAATGAACCCCGGAATGGGGACGTGCAACCCACCCCCAGCCCGAGCCACACACGTCGCGGTCAGAGACCTGGGAAGGGGGGCGGCGGGCGGTCAGGGGAAGCTGGCGCTGGGTGCGAGGCTCCGGAAAGGCGAGAACTCACCTGCAAACAGGCAGTCCTTCTCGGCTCTGGACTTCTGGATCACGACGTCGATATCCTTCTGAATTCGCTCTTGCCTTGAACACATCCCCATTAAATAAATCCCTGGAAAAGAAGCAGCCGCTATTTCCACCCCACCCCACCCCCCTCGCACGCTTCCAGCTTTCGTAAATATTCAGTTAAAAATGAAACCTCTGGCCGAGGCAGGGGCTGAAGGCGAAGTGGTTTCGGAAGTGATCCTGGGTGAAAGAGGAGGAGGTGGTGGAGGAGGAGGAGGGGGGGGAGGTCGGCTTTGCATTCCCAGATGTGACCGCCCAGCTGCTGCTCGCCACTGCTGGATTCCAGTTTCCTCCCCTCCTGACAATGGATGGTGATGACACCGAGTCTCACTTTCTCCCTCCCCCGCCCCGACCAACGGCCGTGGGGGGCCAAGGGTGCTGGAGACGGCCGGAGAGCGATCACCGGCGGGGCGGCGGGCGCCGGCGAGGGGCGAGCCCCGCTCCGCCTCACGCGCGCACACCCCTCGCGGCCCGCACGCCGGCCTTCCACACCCGCGCACACTCGCGCCCGCGGGCGGCGGCGGCCGTGCGGAGGCTGCTGCAGCGCCGCCCGCTGCAGACCCTCCCGCGCCCAGTCACCGGGTCCCGGCCGCCGGGGTGTGAATAGTATCCGCCATCCCGGGCGCAGGCTGGGCGTCCCCGCCCCGGCCGCCGCTCGCGCCAGGGGCTGAGTGGGAATGTAGGTAGTGAAGACTCCCCGGGGCTCCCAGCCTGCCCCCCGCTTCCACCACTTTTATGAATTCGACTCCACTTTCGGAAGGGATTATGAGTCATATGGAAAACCCAAACCAGAGTGGCTGGGAGCGGGGGAAGGGAAAAGAAAAATCTTTAAAAATTGAAAATAAATAAAACGAATAAATCTTTCCTTGTTGCCACATCAGGCAAGGTGGAAAAAGCCTTGAAATGACTCCAGACAGACATCCTCCCGTGCCCTCAACTGCCACAGTCTTTTTCTCCCAGGTGGAAGTAGTTTAGTCCCTTCGGGACACCTGGTAGGAAATGCAGCCCCTTTCCAGGGACCTCCTCTTACTTCCAAAGACTCACCAGTTCTTCCCTCCTAGGTATTTCCGTCCATAAAAAATTGGCAGAATCAAGGAGCCCGTGCCAGGGTCTCCCTAGAAGATGGAGATCTGTTTGGCTTGTTTTAAAAAGCCGCTCCTTTGCCAGTCAGTCAAGGGGAAGCTCCGACGATCCTGCTGTCTAGAAGTGAGGTAGCGCTCTGATCCTCACTTCCTGTTCTGCCTAAGGACACCTCAGGGCTGAGGTACCCGTCCTGCCTCTATATTGCCATATGCCCGAGGACAGGCCTCCAATGGCACTTCTCTTGTTGTTTTTTCCTCCACTGAGGAGGCATCCCTGAGCAGACCATGGCTCATCTGGTTCTGAGTTCCCAGTGCCTGGTGCAGTGCCTGAAAAATAGCAGGCAGGTCTGAATGTTGGCTGAATGCACGAATGGTGGTGCCTTGCAGCTTCATTTCTGTATGCCTACCACAGTCTCAGTCAACTTCCTTATCAGCAGAAGTACCCAAGAGTTGTCAAACTGGCTCAGACCCTGAATCGGTCCAGTCTGGATTCTGATATGGGCAACATGATGTGTAGGAGAATTAGAAATGATTGTCATCCCTGACAGAGTCATAAGATTCCATAGAGATAAATGCAATGAGAAATCATATGTTCCAACCCCTTTATCTTGCAGGAAAGAAAACATGAAATGATTTGTCGTACAGCCTTGAACACAGCACATTCGTTGTGAATTGTAAGAGGAAACACTCCGCCTTAAGACCACTGCCGTCTCTGATGTCAAAGTTACAATACAGTACATTTTCTGCTCAGACCTCTTCTGAAACATCTTTAGGGGTAGGGCCAAGGTGTGCAGCCCGTTGGCAACCAAAAGCACGTCCTTCTGTTCCACCGAGCACAGAGTATCATGTGTATGTCCCTCCATCCTTCTGTGCTCCAATTTCTCTAAAATGCTTAAAATCTAACAGCTCCGGGCGCCTGGGTGGCTCAGTCGTTAAGCGTCTGCCTTCGGCTCAGGTCATGATCCCAGGTCCTGGGATTGAGCCCCGCATCGGGCTCCCTGCTCTGCGGGAGGCCTGCTTCTCCCTCTCCCACTCCCCCTGCTTGTGTTCCTGCTCTAGCTATGTCTCTCTCTGTCAAAAAAAATAAATAAAATCTTTAAAAAAAAAAAAAAATCTAACAGCTCCCCCAAACTTATTTGATGGTTGTCTCTCTATCCAGGAACCTCGCATTCTCAAAGTAGAACCCGTACTACAAATAAATTTCAAATAGTTTTAAACCTACCTGATGTTTTTCGTCTGGAACACCTCTTGGTTTACTACTCCCTTCATAAAATAGGCTTTCTTGTGATTTGTCCTATATTTGATTTTTTTCTTTCAAGCTTCACAGGCTGCCCTGTTTTTGTTAAACAAAATTGACCTCACTCCGTTCATGCCCTTAAGGTGTGATATATTTAAATATTTTTAAATGTTAAGGGATAAGATTTTTAAAAAAGAAAAAAAAACCTTTCTCTCTAGTATGCATTTTTGCAAGATAAGTTTCTCTAATAGAAACTATACCAAGGCATCAGTGTTCCATGCTAGATCCTTATGGCATGATGCTTTCAAAGTCAGCCCACAGCCAGTATCCCATTTACCTTACCTCTTATTTAAACATTTACATTATTTTGCGGTGATTAAAAACTATATGCACTTTTGTGGGCGCCTGGGTGGCTCAGTTGGTTAAGCGACTGCCTTCAGCTCAGGTCATGATCCCAGGGTCCTGGGATCAAGTGCCGCATCGGGCTACCTGCTCTGCAGGGAGCCTGCTTCTCCCTCTCCCACTCCCCCTGCTTGTGTTCCCTCTCTCGCTGTGTCTCTCTCTGTCAAATAAATAAATAAAATCTTTAAAAAAAAAAAAAACTATATGCACTTTTGAAATGAGGAAGTCTTATCCGTGCCTTAACCACTCCTGTGCACACACACACTCACATGCATTCAGGAACACAGCACATAGTAGGCCTTTTATCAGTTTGTTAACGAAACAAAAATCATTCATGATGAGGGACAACTCTGGCAGTATGCTATAGGAAATTCAAGATAGTAAGTAATCGATACATTGGATGATTGGGTCTAGTCAAAAAAAAGTCCCACCAGTTTAGAAAAAATGATCCCGAGCCAACAAATAAAATTTATTAGAGGAAAAATGTAAATTCTTCACCTCTGCTGAAAGCCCCAGCTGTAGAAGTATAAGGCAATGGAAATGTGGCAATAAGTTCAGTGGGTATGCTGTAGTTATTAATAACTCACACGTGTCCAGAGCTTATTAGAACAGCCTGGTATTGCTCTAAATGCTTTACATATATTAACTCATTTCATATTCATAATAATCCTCTACAGTAGCTGTTACTATAATTCTTCACATTTTACAAAAGAAGAAACTGAGGCACAAGGGGAATAATTAACTTACCTAAGGTGGGACATAGACTGCAATGAACTTTGTCCTGTCTCCAAAACTTTCAGCAGTTGAACTGAACTTTGTGGAAAATAAATGTTCAGAAGTCTCACTTCAGAGCAAACTGGCCTCACCAATGGCAGCAGGCCAGGAGTTAAGCCAACAAGAAGCCCTATAATGGATTCTGAAGCAGGCCTGGAGCCTAAGGGCTCTCAAAATAGCCTCTCCTGGTGGCAGCGATCTTTCCCTTTCTTGCATTGAACTTCCTTTCCCAAATGAATCTCAATCCTCTGTAAAGTCTTAAGAAAGGGAAAAGCCTGACCTCTCTTATTTCTTGGGAATTAAAAGGACAGGAGGCAGGATTTGCAAAGAAAACACCCCCCTCTCCCAAATGCATGATGCTGTCCTCGGTAGCAAATCCCCGTGGGAATGCCCAGCAGCCTTGGTCAGCTGTGGAAACAGCACTGTGACAATTTGCTCTTGAGGTAGAATCAGAGTGAAAGAGGGAGAGGGTGAGCATGAGGGATTACTATGGGAAGAGATCACCAAGAGACTTTCAGCTAGGGTGAGGATGTGGGATTTTAGCTGGGAGAAAAGGGAAGCCACTCAAAGGAGGGTGATCTCAAAACTCTTTTCAACAATTAGATTTATAAGAACTTTTTGCAGTGGCTCTGTAATGGAAAGAAATCCATAAAGTTCAAAATGCCTCATAGGCCCAACTGGCCCCCCCTAAAAAAAAGTGGATTTGGACAATTCTTTCTCCTGGTAGTATTGTTTTGGGAGAAACTAATCCTGTTATCCTGACTTCATTCGGTAGGTCTAGCCATCAAAGTATGAGCAAAGCAAAGTCACCCTTGAATAAACTTGACAAAATGGAAGACAATTTTAGGTGGTTTGGTGTGAAATTCGTCCCAATTTTGTCCTTAGTATATCCCCTAACTAAAGTCAAATTGAGCAGCACATCGGTCATACTGAGGTTTTATGCCCTTTCTAGCAACCTTAAGACACTTAAAATACCAAAGCTATAACATGAAACCTGAACTACTCTTTCTAGCTCCAAGCTTCTCTTTAACTTAGTCGCATTTGTCTCTCAATAAGCTTTAATTCCCATTTCTACCAAGAAGCATCCTTGGGGGCACCTGGGTGGCTCAGTCGGTTAAGCGTCTGCTGTTGGCTCAGGTCATGATCTCAGGGTCCTGGGATCCAGCCCCACATGGGGCTCCCTATTCAGCGGGGAGTCTGTTTCTCCCTCTGCCCCTCCTCCCACTCATTCTTTCAATCCCTCTCTCTGAAAGAAAGAGAGAGAAAGAAAGAAAGAAAGAAAGAAAGAAAGAAAGAAAGAAAGAAAGAAAGAAAGAAAGAAAGAAAAAAGAAAAAAAGAAAGAAAGAAAGAAAGAAAGAAAGAAAGAAAGAAAGAAAGAAAGAAGAAAGAAAGAAAGAAAGAAAAAGCATCCTTGACCCTCGTTAGATGCCTCACCATCCAATGCAAACAAACTCATACTTCTCAGCTTGTACTCACTTATTAATTCTACTTCGTCTGGAATACCTCTCCTTTTGTTTGTTTTTAAAAATGCATAAATACTGCATGAATATATTCCCAATGCAAACTATTTAAAGCGTATATTAATACAGAGAGTAAAATCTGAAAATTCCCACCCATCTTAACCCCTAAATCCACTCCTGACCCCAAAGATAATTAGTATTAATAGTTACAAGAGAATCCTTCCATTCTGGCATTTCTATATCCACATATGTATGTTCATGGATTTATACATATACATCTTAATTTAAAAGGAACCACATAATATATGTTATTTTGCAACTCGATTTCTCCACTGTCTTGGAGAACTTTCTATGTCAATACAAAGAGATCTACCGCATTCCTTTTAGCTACTGCAGATAATTTTATTGAATGGATACACCATCATACATTTTAACCATGCCTCTGCAGTCATGATAGGTTTTTCCAAATGTTTTGTGATTAAAACAATTTGCAATAAATGCATATCTTTATGCACAATTTCAGCAGTTTCTTTGGATAGATCAGTAAAAGTGGACTGACTGGATCACAGGGAACTGACAATTTAAAAATTTGATAGGAACAAGCAAATTGCTCTCAAAATTACCTTATACTCCACCAACTGTTTTTGAGAGTATCTAATTCTCTGCATCATTCCCAATAATATGTACTATATATCTTTAAATCTTCTTTATTGGTTGAATGAAAAATATTCATCTTGCT